CTCCATGAAGCTTTCAGGTTTGCAACCAGCTGGTACTGCAAACGGCGAGGCTCCTGCTGTCCAGCCAGCACCTCCTAGAGACGACGGCCTGCTGTTCCACAAGTACATACCTGCTACTGCGAGTGCGGGTAGCAAGCAGCGTGGACAGGCGGATGTCGAGTACACTGCGTTCTTGCCTGGCGATGAGGACAGCAAGGTGGTGGAGAAGAAGATTGAGCAGACGCTTACTGCCTCGACGGCCGAGATAGCGTTTGACGCACTTGATTGGAAGGCACTACCCACACTACACCACATTGTCGAGAGGTTACAGGAGATACCCGTGTACGGGATTGTCGAAGCAAAGATTGTGCAAGGAACTGGGGTAAGCGACGTTAGGTCAGCTCAGAAGCTTGCATAGAACCTGGATATACATGTACATACATACACTGTTAGTCTCTCTGTAGTTATTAGTACCTTTGTTCATCCCCGTATCACCCACACATCAAATCACTTACCCGTTTCAATTTGTACTACCTTTCATTCTCTCATCTATAGAACGATCGACAATATTTGCTACTACATGCTTGTCCTCAGAAAGCCAAGTGTATAAATGGGGAGGGGTATTACCAAGGTTCCATCTATCAAATGCCCATCCAAAAACACCATACGACCATGACGATGCAAAAATGTACATATGAAATTTGTGAAAGAAAGGAAAGAGACACGAAAAAAAGGGTAGGGTGAAAGACAACAGAGAAAAAAAATCCACATGTTGTTCCCAAACAAAAGAAACACAAAAAAGGAACTACGATCCGTCTAGTATAATCCGCCAGGGACGCCCCGATTTCGTTTCCCTAGCATCTGGAAACATGGAAAAGTTCCGTATTGTAGTGCCGAGATGCTTTGCCGAATATTCTTGATTCGCATCGCCATTAAAGATGCCACAGACTCTATATTAGTCTTATTCTTTTTTTTCAGCGAAATCTCTCCACGTGTAGAGTAGCGAAGAGGAGGAAGAAGAGAAAGAAGAGAAAGAAGGAAGAAAAGAAAGTTACTAGCAAGGTGCGCAAGGCGAGTTCTACCCAGTAGTCGCGCCCAGGCCATCGCAAAGCCTCTTTCTCCATTGTCCACAAACATCCTCGAATCCATCCAGCACGTCTGCACACGCACGTTTGGCTTCCCTCTCTTTGAGTCGCCGGTCCCAGTCTCCATGCTCAATGTACTCTTGTGCCTCCTTTGTCCGTTCATTGTCGCGTTTCCAGTCCTGTAATTGTTCTTTGCTAACTTTGAGCCTACGGGTGGCATTCATGGTGGTTTGCCGGGACATGTGCAGCGTGTCGCTTACGTTTGCGAGATGTTGCAGGAGCTCACGGCTCGAGTGTGTGAGATGGGACAGGGCAACGAGTGGCTCAGCGGAAGAATGGGGAAGCAAATCCAGGGTTGATTGTATGATTGGCAAAAGTTCCTCGATGGTTTCTGGATCGGGCAGGATGGGTCGTGGACCCGAGAAGGAGGCGGCTAGAGATGTTAGGGTACGGGACTGGTGAGTTAGGTGCGTTGTGAGAGCATCGTGAGCCGTTTTAAGCCTGTTTGTTTCTTCTGTTAGCAAAAATCATACAAAGGGAAAGGAATGAAATTACCGTGTGGATCCGTTCTCTATGGCAATCTGGCTGCCCAAGTCTCGCAGTTGCTCCGTCACTCGCTTGACCACCTCGTCTGACTGGCTGCCATTCTCTTCCATGCCCCGCCGTGCTAGGCTTTCAATAGCTGCCATTCTCGACTCGAGCGCCGGTGATATGCCCTCGTTGTCCAGGTCGGAGTCGTCACCATAGTCGGAGCCGTCGTACAGCGATCGTTGCCTGTTGTGCTTTTTTAACTTTGCAGCCGAGGCAGGGCTGAGGCCAGTGGGAGGAGAGTCTTGCATGGCCACACCACTATCACGCACACCGTTGAGACTGGCTACGCTGTCGACGCCATAGGAGCCGTCGTGCTCGATGGCGGTGCCGATGGCGGCGAGGTCGCCGTGCGACTCGTCTATGTCGTCACCGTAGTCGCCGTCTATGGCGTCGTCATCGTCGTCCCATATCTCGCCCAGCTCGTCGGCCAGGTTTCCGAGGCCATTGCCGTCTATGGCGCCGTCAAAGTTGTGTGCAGAGGCGTCGTCAAAGTCGTGCGACGAGCGCGGGGTTATGGGCGAGTAGCCGGAAGAGCGTCGGTTGAAGGATTGGCGCCTGGAAGCGTTGTTGTGGGACATGTCCAGGCTGTCGGGGTGTCGACGGTGCGAGGATAGAGGACGGTGAGTCGGTGTGTCTGGTGGAGAGGACATGGCGCTATGGGTGGGTGGATCAAGGGCCAGATGGGAATGCGCCGAACGCGTCCGAGGATCGTGAAGTCGCTGGTCAAGGAAAGGCGGACCGCATTAGGAGAGCCCAATCGGGGATCAACCGAGCGTGATCAAGGAGCGCAATGCGCCTCTGTCGCGCAGCACTGGCAGCCAAGGGCTCGATGGGGCCCAACCTCGTGCAAGTAACAGCGGTGCGTGCTGAGCAGGAGTCGCAAAAGGAGAGGTGCGTGGCGGGGTAGCGGCGTGTGGACGGTGACTGGTACCCCTAAACTTGAGGTTGCGGGCTCGGCTGTGGTTGCGCAACTGCAGCCTCGATGCAAGGTACCGGCGGTGCTGCGAGGCGGCTGGCGACTGGCGACTGGCGACTGGCGGCACTTGGCGGTACGTACGGTATTTGTCTACGTGTATTCTGTGTGAGTGCAGAGCGGGAGAACAGGACAGGCGCAACACTGATAAACAGTCTAGCAACAAAGCCGATGATGTGGTTGCACACAGCAGGTCCCCTCGCACACAGTGTTTAGTTGCCGCTTGTTGCCCTGCCTGCTTGGGATTGGCCTGTCAGAAAATGACGGTCCCTCGCAAAGGAGAGAAGGTATGGGTATCCTGGTCATATACAACCACGCCCACCACAGCCAGCACACATCTACACACTACTAGACGCCTCACTTGACCATCTGATTCTGCAAATGTCCATGTCAGAATGCTCCATGCAGCTGCCGGTTCGAGGCTCGTATTGAAAAATACCCACGTCCCTTTGTTCCTCTATCCCAGCCTGGTCCCTGCGTGCATCTCTACAAGCATACATACATACATACATACAAATCCCATGACCCTGTCGTCAACCACATGGCCATCGCCTGTCATGATGCTAGCCCGGACAACATGTACCTTCGCAGGCTCCAAAACGCCTTTTTTTTCCCCTTTCAAAGTCGTACCATGCTCCTGCAAGGTGCTGCCATGTAGCCACCCAGAAAACCATGCCCAAGAACGCCTGCAATGCCTACCCGAATGCCGCTCAAACAATCATCGCCTGTTTGCAGCTATTGCGCTGCTTTGGTCTGGTCCATCGTCGCCAGCTGCTTCTTGAGCTGCGTGAAGAAGTCCTGCCCCGTTGTCATGAGGTGCGGCATGGTGCCTGCGTCGAATCAGTATTCCATGTCTGCAAGCATTTGCTACACATAAGCGCCTTACCGCCTTTGCCCCATGCTCCGCTGCTCCTGTTCGACACCGAGTCACCCGGGACCTTGTGATATACCGCTGGCTGGTCTACAAGGCTCATGTTAGCACTACTAGGCCATGTGCGTGGAAAACTACGGGGCTCGTACTGGCGGTACTCTCGAGGTATTCTACATTCTAGTTAGTATTGTGCCGTGACTTGTACGCTCGGGGAACATACTCTTCTTGAGGAATTCCTTGACCTCGTTGGCATTGAAGTCTTTGACGGGCACATGGTGCTCGGGCTGGGCCTGAGCTTGTGCAGCCGGCGTAGGACCCGAGGCTTTTGCCTGCTTGGTTCCCCAGACATTGCCCGCAGGTGCGGCGGCCATGGATTGCGGCCGGCCACCAGCGTCCTTGGTGGGGGTGTTTGCGCCTGAGTTGCGGTTGGCTTGACCCTGCCGTCGCCAGCTGTGAGACATGTGGTCAGTAATGTGCAGCAAGGAGGATGGGCGCTCCTCTGGACCTACCGATTCTCACCAGGACCACTCATCTTGGATGCGGAGAAATGGCAGAGGCGACGAGGGGCCGAGTGGTAGATATAAAATGCTGGAAGCTTTGCAATCGCTCTTGCAGCGCGCGAACGATGTCTGTGCTGCAGCAAACGGGCCCAATGAGGGTGCTAGATGCGACTACACCTGTGACTTTTCCCGACCAACTCACTACTGCTAGCCGCTTCAAGAGCCACCGCGACACTATTTGCACAGATTCGCGAACGAGTGGATGGCGATTTACGGAGCTGCCCAATCTGCGCCAATGTGTTGTACATCACGTGCCCCGCCCTCCAATCGAAATGCCCACCGCCCGTCGTGACAACACACCAACAACAGGGTTCAAGACACCACGGCGAACCCACGGTAACAGCTTCGAGGCACTGGGCCACGTTTTCGTCTCCATTCTTTCCCCCATGCTTGGCCGCCCTTGACTCGTGCCCCGTGCAGGCACAATGACGGCATGCCATTGCGACGGGCAAGACACGATGCCACGCAATCTCACCGACAGCTCCGCCCGAATCCCATGAGGAAGACGATGCACAAGACACACCAACGCGTATCGTGCTAACAACGCATGTCATCCGGTCTGGTAGAGAAAAAGCAAAGGCGGTCGTTCGAATCATGGCTCACGGTGCTGTCACCGACTTTTGACAAAGACCAGGATCCCCAGATATGTGTGCATGGAACCTCAGTGACAAAAGCCCTACTATTGTTCCAGCTGGCTCTCCCACCTTTTCGTCAGCAACAACTCTCACAAGCCAATCCTCATTACGCTAACACATAGTTGAAAACAGCCTTTTATGGCTAGGCTCAGATTCCATTCCATTTATTAATAATATGTATTTTGTGCATGTCCGTTCCATGCCGTCCGACAAAGGCACCAGGCCATCAACATTCATTCCATAACATGATACAACGCCGCAAACTCGAGGCGTGAGGGAATGCAGCAATGCATATTACAAACACAACTAGACTGACGCAGCGGCACCTTGGGCATTGTCGCCGCCATTGCCACCGCCAGTCAGATTTGCTAGGAAATCGTGATATCGAAACACCTCTCCTCTGCCCAGACCCTTGCCTCCCTTTCCAAAGGCTCTCCGCCCACTGAAACCCTCGACCACCATGTTGATCTCCCGTTCGGTAAGCAGCGTTTCGCCTGGCTGCGGTGCCGTATGTAGCAGGGCATCTTTTAGCTCTGCCAAGTCAATCTGTCCGTCGTCGTTGTCATCGAATGCCTCAAAAGCTGCGCTCAGCTCGTTCTGGTGCGAGAGGTTGCCCAGCAGATCGGATAGTGTTGTCAGGTAGTTGGCCAGGTTGATGGATTGTGCGCCGTTGAAGTATGTCGAGAGCTGGGACGGGGTCGCAGAGAGACCGAGCTGGGACAGCATATCGGCCACATCTGCAGCATTTACATGGCCATCGTCGTCGCGGTCCATGACACTAAACGACTCTCGCATACTGTGTAGGAGGGGCGGCGGCAGTTTGGAAAGGGCGTCACTCGAGGCCATTCGCCGGATGGTCTGTGGCCGGGCTGCCAGTCGCCCGGGCGAAGGCTCGCGCGAGCGTGCAGGTGAGCGTGCGGGTGAGGGCGCTGGCGAGAGGTGTGCGAAGCGATCTACATGAACCTCGACTGGCTTCTCAATTGGCCTCTCCACCGGCTTGACAGGGTCAACAGGCGGCGACTGCTTGCGGAAGGAGAGAGGTGCCGGCGTATCATCCTTGGCGGTGCCCTCGAACATGGCAGCAATCGACGCCGTGCTCAGAGGGCGTCCGGTGCCTTGGGCCGTGGGTGGTGGTGCATTGCGCGTGGGCGAGACATGGCGGCCAGGCGAAGCGGGTGGTTCAGGCGTGCCTGATCGTGTGCGCGTGTGCAGCCATGGCGGAGGGTTTTGTGATGCGGGTCCGGTAGCAGGGGCGGGTGCTGCAGCAGCGGCCGGGCGGAGGTTTGCTTGCGAGGGGGTATTGGGCGTGTCCTTGGGCTTGAGAGGAGAGCTGTTTGGTGTCGAGGGCCGTAGGGTCGAGGGGGAAGCCTCTCTGATGGAGCCCGGGCGGCGGAAGGGCGACTGGCGGGCGTTGTTGAAGGACAGCGGCGAGGGCTTGTAGGGGGTGGGCGTGGTCGAGTCCATGAGCGCGTGGTATGTGCGTGTGTCTGTGTTGGGGGTTGGGGGAGGGCGTCAGTACAGTGTGCTAACGTTGTCGCATAGTGGTGACGGCGCTTGTTGACCGTGGCTGGTGTTTTGCGGCCAAGGCGGCGTGGCCCAGCAACCAGGCCAGGCGTGCGCTGGGCTGGGGGCGAACTAGGCAATCGATAAGCCCGCCGGCGCCAGCAGATGCAGTTAGCCCATACGTCGGATACATGTTATTATTATAACTAACCTTATGTATGGACTACGTATGGACGCACATGTCGACTCTTGTAAGTACGCTTCCTACTCGTGAATGCACTCGGGCGCTGGGATGCATGCACCTGCACCGCCGCCCACCCCAGCGCCATGGAGCCCGCGCCTCGTGTCCCCTACCTCCTCTCCCCTCGCCCCGACTGGCTGCCGCCGTGGTCGTGAGGGTGACATTGGTTTCGGACCATCTGTAGCATTAGCCCCCCTAACGCTAGCGCCTGTAGATCTATAGGGAATGCGAGCAACCAGGGCCCCGTACATAGTAGTGCAGCAGAGGGAGAACAAACACTCATGGCCGAAGTCATATCACAGCGACCAGGCGGTCCCAGTCCTGCCCAGCCCTCGACGCTGCAACGCCAGCCTTCCTTCTCCTCCTTCCCGCCCTCGCGCTCACCATCTACCCGCAATGGCCACTACCCCAAATCCCGCTCCCCGCAGCCCCCCATGCTGCGCGAGGGCGAAGAGAACGACTCAACCCAGTCGGAGCGCGACGACCCTTTCCGCCACCTCTCTGCCATGTCCCACGCAAGAGCCGGCATGAAGCTGCGCCCCCAGTATCCTGCCGACGCCGTCGAGAACCATGTCGAGTACATACTCGTCGCCTCGTTTGACATTGACCGCGGCTCCATCATGGAGCACCAGTATCCCGCTGCTATAAGCGGTGACGAGACCATGTTAGCCGAGCTCATGCTGCCCGATCAGGCCCACGTCCGGAGCCAGGATTGGACCATTTTCTTTCTGCACAAGGACACAACCGCCGACGAGGAGGAGCGCGAGGCACGGAGAGAGCGCAGGCGACGGAGAAGGCGGCGCAAGCACGGTCTGGAAGACGACAATGACAATGCCACCTCCCCCGCCGAAGCGCGCAAGGACCGCGACAGCGACAACGAACTCGAGGCTGATGATGATGACGAAGACGACGACGACGACACAGAAAGCGAGAGCGGGCCGGATCCAGATGGGCCACCCTTGGTCTACGTCCTGAATCTGGTCAACACCAAACAGGACAATACCGTGAAGAGGTAGGGCAGCCCTGACCAACTTGCGACAAACGAGTTTACCAGACACTGACTCTACATAGAGGTGCCATTGTGAAAGCCATGGCCATATGCACTCGCCATCCTTTTCTACACATATACAAGCCCTTGTTGTTATTAGCGCTCGAGGAGTACTTCAGAGCGCCGGTCCTAGAAACACTTGCCTCGCTCTACAATGCCCTCAACTCCATGGACCTGTCGCTCTTGCCGAAATTGTCTCATCTTGAGAGCTTTGTGCTGGGCGCCAGCGACGCAAAGGACATGTTTGTAGAGAAATTCGAGCTCATGGTCCGCCACAGGAAGAAGCAGGATGCTGCAAAAGAGGCGGACGAAACTGCATCGGATCCTCAATCTAAGAGGAAAGTATATACCATCCCCCGGGACACTCACGAGTTTGAGTCCAAGATCGATTACAACGGCATACCCGTGCCTGTCAAGATTCCAACTTCCCTAAGTCCGGAAACCGTGGGCGACTTTTCCCTCATCAAGCTCATACAGACCTTCTCCACCCCTCACACAACACAACCGCAGCCATTTGCCTTGCACCCGCATCTGACAACGAGCGGTGCATTCACGCATCCAATCATTGTTCTCGTCAATGCTCTCTTAACCCAGAAGCGCATCATCTTTATCGGACACAATCGCCCTTCAGGCGAAGTCGCAGAGGCTGTGCTGGCAGCATGCGCCCTGGCATCTGGCGGTATACTACGCGGCTTTGTGCGACATGCGTTTCCATACACCGATCTTACTAAAGTGGACGACCTGCTCAAAGTACCTGGCTTCATCGCTGGCGTCACCAATCCTGCATTTTCCTACAAGCCAGAGTGGTGGGACCTCCTATGCGACCTCCCTACTGGCCGTATGAAGATTAGCAATCGAATCGAGTCAGCCTCACCCACAGAGGGATCATTGTTTTTCCAGCAGCAAGGCCTCCCTTTGAATGGACTCAATGGACAATCGGGCCTTGACAGTAAGGGTGGTGGTATTGATCCTACCGGCGACAATCAGTTCATGGACAAACTTCTCGAAAGCATTGCCAACCGTCATGGAGAAAACGCAATTCGGGCAAAATGGCGCTCGTGGGTGCTTAAATTCACCCGCATCGCAGCCGCCTTTGAAGAAACCGTCTACGGGGCATCAGCACTGTATATTGGCGCTCATGACACGGAAACCGGTGCATATGGTGTTTCTGGGCATGGTTACGTCTGGTCAGATGAAGGCTCCAAGCTCCGCGAGCTTGCAGCAAATGTTCATCGAATCGAAGGCTGGCGCAACACCAGAAGTTACTATAGTTACATCCAGGATCTTGCAAAGGGCTGGGGCAAGAGGCCAGTGCGAGGTCTCGACATGCACCACCAGCATGACAAACTGCGATGTCTGAAGCTCACCCATGATCAATCGGCAGCCATCTATCTCGCACTTGCACGGTGCGTGGAAGAAGCAGGTTCACCTAGTGAGAGCACCACTGCTTCATCAACCGACCTCTCATCAATGGCACAGTCGCTTAATATCAGCAACGAGTCTGCAAGGAGAGTAAATGCCCAACTACAATACGACACCGTTCTCCAGCTGCTTTGCGTTATACCCGATGCCGGTCTCTTCTACCTCAGTCTCGGCCTTTTCCACCCCAGACAGGATGTCCGCATGGCAGTCGTCAAGCTACTAGAGCGAATCATGGATCACTCTGCCGGTCGACATTACTGGGACCAGTTAGGACGTTTTGCCAAACTAGCATTTTTCAGAGTAAAGAGAGAGGAGGCGCAGAAGTAGATATACTAGCAAGTGTTTGGAGTTGGATCGAATGAATGATGACTGGCCTGCGTGTCGCGGGGTCGACTTAATGCAATGACAAGAATAATCTGAATGAATGAAATGAGTACTACATATATCTGTGCTTTGTCAATAGTGAGCATCTGCATTTGACATGAATCTCTTTTTCCGCCCATCAAGAATCATGATTGACGTCCTTGTTTGTGTAGTGAGATGCTCTGCGCAATGACACACTGTATATGACTAGTTCTTTGCAAAACATTTTCTAGTCTAGCTAGGTGTATTGTGTGCTACACGCATGTTTAGTGTAAAAGGGGTGACGTTACACAACATGCAAGACACGTGTTGGTGGTTCCTGCATCAGACGGCTGCTCAGCCTGCCCAACCTGCACAGCCTCCGACAACAAAACAAGGAGCTCACTGTGCCCCTCCGTCTTTGCCACACTCTAAACTACTGTCCGTCATTTGTTTATACAGCAATGGAGGTTGCCGGTCTAGCACTCAGTGCTGTTGCACTAGCAACACTATTCAACACCTGCGTCGAATGCTTCGAGACCTTTTCCCAAGGGAGAAATCTGGAGAAAGACCTCACCTACCTTCTCATCAGGCTGGACTTTGAAAAAACACAACTATTGTTGTGGGGAAATTCAAGCGGCATTCTCAAGATCGAGAAAGAGGATCGACATGCCAGGTTGGCAGACTCGACAGTTTCCAAGCTTGTTAAAGATGCGCTAGGTGCAATTCAAAGTCTTCTCTCGGATGCCAGCTTATTGCAACAGCGTTATGGCGTCAAATCCAGTACTGCAACCTTGGCAAAGAAACAGTCGATATCAACGAATTTACTCAGTCCGAACAGCATGAATTTGTTTCGCACCTCATGGTCCAGGTTCTGTATTCGAGCAGCTCAAGCCTTACCAGACCGAAGTACCCTTAGCACAGCTTCAAAAGCACGCTGGGCGGTTCACGACAAATCAAAATTCGAGGAACTACTGGACAAGTTGTCAACTCTAGTGGAAAAACTACACACGCTCATTCCAGTACCGGATTCTCAACATAACGATCTGGAAAATGATCTTGCAACAATTGACATATCGCAGTTGAGACTTGTGGAGGCAGCATTGCAGTCCTCAAGTCCAAGAGGCAGGGCCCTGTCCAAAGCTGCAAGTGTTATCATTTCGAACTCGGAAATTGGTACCATCGACCAACGGGCTGTTGTTGAATGGCTTCAGGATACTCAATGGAGCAATCAACCAAATGATACAAATACCTCCTCTACATCAACGCAGCCAGGTGGACGTAAGTTTATCCCAATAGATTGCAAAGCAAAACTAATTGTTACAAGGTCTGAGTTTGAAAGGGAAACTGGACTACCTGGTAGTGAATACCAAAAAGTCGGTATACTTCGTTAACACACCTGAATGCCGGAACATTGCAACGTCAACGCCTTGTCCAACCATTATGTCAGATAGGAGGCTACCCACTACATTTGGAGACCAGTTCCACTCCAACAGCTCCGAGTCAATACGCGCCCTGTTCCCAAATCTGGCGAAATGCGAGAATTTTCAGCCTGACAGCTATGCCGAGTTATTCGAGGGTCTGCAACGGAGTTCACATGATGTACAAGCAGTCGCCATCCGTCGAATCAACCAAATGCTTCCATTCGGCATCATCTACATTCACACAAGCCCGTGCCAGTGCGCAATCCAGACGGCATTGTGCATAGCTGACGCATTGAATGATGACTACCTCAAGGCCGTGGTACGCATAGATGAGAGAATCTCTAGTTCCTGCTTTCGTAGTATCGCAGACCGTATTGTAGTGCTTCAATCGATGCTTGCACATCTAGACACACTGGAGCCATTTGCAGGGCCATCGTCGAAGTCACTCTGGAGACATATGGATCGGACATGGCTTGACCAGAGG